ACACACACACACACACACACACACACACACACACACACACACACACACACACACACACACATATGTATTTGACAAATTAATAATAGAATATCTCCTACCAATTCTGATTACAATTCATTTCGTAGGAAATCTAAAAAAGACTTAATTTGTCAACTAAAAAGTAAGATCCAAATATCTGATTTTTTGTTGTTGCATATTCTCGCATACACTACACTTGAATTGCTGTTGAAACCCTCTCTTTCCACTATATGTGGATTTTTTAAATATTTAAAACACCGATTCTCGTAAATGTTGCTTCATCCGTCACAAAAGTTTGACTGAAAGTTATTATCGTGCATGATATTGCACGCACATATTAACAAAAACGTATCCTTTTCATATAATTTGTCGGCAAAAATACAAGTATGTAATGATATGAATATCTACCATCACTACGTACTGTTCGCTAGATTGTAGTCCGGATATTTGTAATTGATATAAAGCTCGTCGAATACTTTGTCCCGGACTATTGTCAAAGACATTTAAAGTTCTTTCAAAGCGATTTTGATAACACATTAATCCATAACAAATAATAATTGTGTATTTATTGATAAAATGCACAGTTATAACACATACGATATATTTTAAAAAATATGGAGATGTTATTGGAAACTACATATTCTATTATATATTGGATATTTTGTAAATCTCAAGAAGCACAATTGTATCATGATGAATTTTGCAAGACAAATATTTTCGACAGAACTATAGCATCGTGGCAATTATATTTCTAGAGATGTTGATTTTCTAGAAAAAATATAATAGAATCGTCTCATTAATATTGTAATTACTATAAACTAAAGCTCTATACAATTTAAAATAACTTGCATTTGTAATATGATTATACGACGTAAGGTAATGTTTAGAGTTAATTGTAATCCGTTCATTCAAAAGCTAACAGATCGATAAATATTCTGGCAATCAGTCAAATCAAACAGAAATTTGAACTTTATTGGCCGATAGGCGGAATTTTTTCTGATTAGAAAGTAATAACGATTCGTTATAACTGCAATTATACGGGGCAGTGTGGTTTGGGGAAAATCAACGAACGCATAAAAAAGATAGGAGCACGAAAAAAGCAGTAGAAAAAGGAATATAGAAATAGCGAGTAGACATTCCAATTAACGGTTTTTTGCTTTTCACTCGTTCGTGTATCTGGCGCGATATGCATCAGTGAGAAATGTACGTTTAATAATATAATCATGGCCGTTCTTTTTTAGACGAGCAAACGGAAGCTGGCGTACATTTTCGACAAGATATATCCATGCATACATAAATAAGTCACAATTACAACTAAAAGTTGAAATTATATTACGTTTATCAGCTACAATGTGTAGCACACGTTATTTACTAATATAATAACGCATTACTGTAAATCGTGAAAATTCATGCGTATAATATTATTGCAATACTGCAATATTTTGAGTCTATAATTTGTCGCAAATATATAAATATTTGAAGTTTCAAATAAGATATATTAGAAGATATAATGTTTATGTTGCTTTGAACATAATATATAACATGTATTATACATTAAATATAATAAAAAATAAAATTATATAAAGTCTCTTTCTTAAAAATTATACTTATTATAATTTTATTTTTATAAAATTTAATTATAAAGAAAAAAAGAAAAAGCACGCTCATAAATGGTAAAGTTCTTTCTATCCAATATCCACTGGCAAACCATGAGCAATTAAATTGACATATGGTCTGCTTGTTTTTCTTTATGTTGCAAAAGTAAAGCCTGAAACAACTTAGCGACAATTACAAGTTGAAGTTAGCTAAGAAAAACGCTCGAGGCCAATGAATATCTAGCCGAGGTCTCGTTAAGTGGTTAGTTTGCAAAAAATAGGTCGCAGTGTGCTGCTGCACTTCTGCGCTTCGCTGGTCAACATACACATATATTTCTGTATGATAAAGAACATAATTCGTTCTGTTACAATCTCATGGAAAATCTTGTTTTCTTAGAAAAGCGTTTAACACTTTAAAATACACCCTATTTTTTATTCGTAAATAAATCTTATTGAAACGAAATGCTATTATCATTTACTTTGTACTTTATTCCTTTTATTGACTAACTTATTAGATTAAATTATAATTAGATTAAAGCATAAAAAATGCATACCTCACAAGGCGTGTTTTATCCGAGGGACTAGTTGCTACTCTTTTCTCCAGAATTGTTCTCTCTCTCTCTCTCTCTCTCTCTCTCTCTCTCTCTCTCTCTCTCTCTCATCCTTCCTTCTTACAAAGGAAAATAAGAAAAAGAAGAAGAAAAACACTCCAATAATTATAAATCAAATTACCCATTTCACATATTATTATCCGTAGAAAAAGTGAAAACCAGCCACAATGTTATAATTCATATTTTCACATTGGCAAAAATAAAATTTGCAAATTAAAACTTCCTTCTGATTCAGGTAATCTCTAAATTGTAATTATTTACACGTACTTATCTATACCATTTGATAAAAATAATCAATAAAAAATATTAGATCCTATCTAAAAAAAAATTAATATTATCTTTTCTAAAAATTATAATAGTTTCAAATATATAATATAATAAAAGCATGAAACGGAACATGCGTAATCCAATTTGATTTAATCATGTTTATTTTTTCTAATTACACTGTTTCATTTAACTTCTCTGTACACAAAACTGTCCACGAAGCGCAGAGCGCAGCGAGAGAATCGTCATCATGGAAAAGGGGTAATAATATTTTTATAAAAACGAGTATTGACTTAACATGCCATTTTTCTAAATGAAGGATGGACGGATGAATATAATATAAATAATGCTTAGATATTTTTAAATTGTTTGTCATTATTGTATTATGCTTAAATTAGTAATTTTATAAAAATTTATAGTAACGTAATGCACAAAAATATTATAATAAGGCTTACTTGAAAAATGATGGCTTCACGCTCGATTTGCGACATATTCTTGAAGATAGTATTGATGATGTTGAGAAATTTATCTCGCTCCAAAAAACTGGCTTGATCTTTCTCGAAGAAGTCAATGAAATCGTATAGAATAAAATATGTTCCTGAAACAGAAATATATGCATGCTAAACGCAATGATAAGAAACACTTATTATTATACATTATAAAGAACTATTGGAAAAAATATAAAAATATAGCAGAAAAATTACAATTTGTAAGTAGCATACAAATGCATAGCATCTTAAATTCAATTATTTTTATAAATCTGCACGATACAAATAATCTTTTCATCATATGTACAATATTATGTAAGGAGAGGTCGCCAATATTTAAAAGACATATTTTAAAAAAGTATACATGATACACATACACATTAGCACTTTATTTGCATTTGACGTGTGCTACGTACGTCTATTATTTGTGTATTTAATAACTACTTGTTCACTGCATTACATCACATGCTATAGAGTAATAATAAAGATAAATATTCCTAATTTCATGCTCATACGGCACAGCAAAATACGAATATTCGTAATAAAATATTTATAGCATATTTTGCAAATAAAGATTGTCAAAAAATAATTGTAAAATTGTAATAAAATGTTGTCATCTATATATATATATAAAAGAATTTGACATAAAAACTTGTTAATTTTTTTTTTAAATACTGAAATTCCTAGAATTAACAATGTATTAAAAGAGTGTATTGATTAATATACTGATATCAAAACAATCTAAATTTACAATTAGATCTAATAGCATAAATCTTTCGTTAAAAACTTTTTTTCACAGACTTTACCATTTCGATGTTAGTCGAAACAATCTAAAACAAATGTGACGAGTTCGAATCAAAAGAAATTCTTTCACTTTTAATTAATTAATATTTAATTAATTCTTAATTTTGGCAAATTAATTTTTAAACGTATAGAGAAGGTATTTGTATAAACACATGTATCTTTTACTTTAACCCTTTCAAACTTTGCATTGTAATGTACAGTAAATTTAAAAAAAACGTTGCCAGCTAAAATTAATGTCCTATGGACATTATCTGAGATCTGATGTACATATACATAATCATGTATATATAGGAAAAAGTCAAAATTTTGAAAGAAATTAATTGTTTAGTATGAAATTTTTATTTGAGTGCGCATGAATTAAATTAAAAAATATTTTTTAATGTAGTTTCAATAAAAAGAATCAGATCTGAAGGGATTAAGTTGCTCTGCAACATAAGATTCATTAAAATCGAAAGGAAATACTTTCATACACACCGTTGTAATTATACTTATAAGTTATATACAAAAAATTGTGACAATTCAATTGTTCCAATTTTACAACTTATACATGTGCATACGATGCAACTATTGGAAGCATTACCGATAAAAGTGTCAGAAACCCAATTTCAAAATACTTCAACTTGATTTAATGAAAAAAGTTGACCGCGCGACGTTATCATGCATTCTTGGTTCTACGACGTGAAACCCCGGATTTCCGGCTGCTTACACGTGCACAACGTGGAAACTTCATCCCCCTTTTATGGTGAGCGAGAGTGTTGCCTCAGGCATGCCGTCTTTGAGATCACGTACGATATGGAGACTTCAAAGAGAGTGCTCCTCGGAAAGAAAATGTAGTTTTCCAATATAAAGTATTTCCTGTTGGACAATACGTACGACAACATACGTATGATATAAATAGGCTGCCTAGTCCTAATGTTTATGTTATACACATGTTATACACATTCTTTAAGAATTAAGGAATATTGTGTAGTCTAGTTCAAATATAAATAACAATCTGTTGCCAAGATTAATTACTATTAATTACTTATCATGTAAACATGAATAGAAAATTAATTCCTATAATAAATTATTGATTCAAAACACCCACAAAATATATTTTGGCATTATCGTTATATGCGTCTGTGTAAATTGAAATGTAGTATATGTGCGCTGTAAATGTGTATGTATGTGTATCTTAATTCATTTTTTAAATACAAATTATTTTAACAACCCTAAATATCGTAATCTCTTAATCTAATTAATATAATAATACTGATAATTAATTTATAATACACGTAATTGTAATAAAATGTTTAACAATAAGTCAGATTTGTTTAGTCTTCTTATAGAATTATATTATATAAATAAAAGACATACATTAAAAAAATAATAAAATAACAAAATTATTTTTATCATACGTGATGTATTGTAGTTAATGAAATTTAATTATACAATAAAAAAATTATAATATTGTATAACAAAATAATTTGTTTTTTTTTTTAAGTAGAGATTTTAAGCTTCAAAACTCTTTTTTTAAATTAAAATTTCGTTCATTTTTAGCGAAAATATTATATATACAATTTTAAGCTAACAAAATCGAACAAACTTATTCCCTAATCCAAATCAATCATTATAATGCTGAAAATGATTATAATTGTAAGAATATTGAAAAAAATATAACAGGTATTATTACTATTTTCATAAATACACTATAAAAAATAAAAAAAATTATTACTGTGTAATTTTCTCTGTAAAACACGTGTGCGAGACGTGCGTGAAATTTATTTCTTAGAGAAGCAGTGGAATCCTGTTTTATATCCAACGCAGTCCACGCGTGTTGCAAGCGACAATCTCGCGGACGAGTCCTTTTTCTTTTTTTCTCTCTTTTCTCATGAAACACTGCATGAGTGTTTCACAGAGATACTATTTAGTTTACCGGAAACTACTGCAGTAATATTGCATCTGACAACAAAGCTGGAAACCGAGTTGACTCGCTCGAGATAGTTTTTGTTTCGGACCTTCAGTTTTCAGGTTAATGGACACTTCGAGTGAAAAAGATGTGGAACTGGATTAACAAATTGAGAATCCTAACGAACTCAACATTGCATTGCCATGATTTCTACGAAATGATATACTTAACGTCAATAAATTATTGGATGATGCGATGCACATATACTAAAATAAAAGACTGCAATATAGAATTGTAATTTGATTAAAAATTAATTTTTTTTTTCTTCTCTCACCCTCTCTCTTCTCCTTTTCACTTTTTTTTTCTCTTTTTTAATCAATCAAAATTGATATTTTCTTAATCTTTAAACAGAGCATCCAAAGTTACAAGCAAAAAAAAATTATAATTTGAAAATTAATTACAAAGATATTTAGTAAACAATTTACTCGCGGTGGTATAGCCTATCTTGACATTCGCAATATAAAATAAATTAATTCTAAAAAAATTAAAAAATTAAAAAGTTAATAAAAAATTCATTATCTCTCGAAGGCACATTCTGCAATAAAGATACGAAAGATGTACATAAAATCTTGCGTATCTTTGTTGCAGAACATTTTCTGAAGATTATTGTTAATATCATGGAAAAACGCATGATGAGTTTTTGCGCATAATGGCGGCAAAGAGTTGGAGATATGACTTGTCAACCAATCACGGAAAGTCCATTTTATATGCACGGAACTCAAACGTTTACAGATAATTACTGATAAAAACATTATATGTCGTTAAATGCACGAGAATTGCGATTGCTGCAATTTTTAATGCAACAGGTCGGCATGCTGCCTGAAACGATTTTAAATCACAAAATATACATTTATTACATATATTGCTTTATCTCTAAACAAATCTTTATATTATCTTCATATTTTATTACCTACACGATAGTCACAATTGGTCTTTTTCAAATTTGAAAGAACTTTGTCTTTATGAACGCTATATACACTGTATATGCGTAACTCTCAATCTTATAAATTTTGTACCATGTTTACTCGCAACTCTGTACTCCGAAAATTGCCATCAAAGAGCAAAATAGTGAACACAGCCATATTAGACTTTCATAAAATGGGCTTCCAATGATTGGCTGTCCGCACCCTACTACTTTTAGACTGCTGGCATCTATCAGGAAATAGATCGCCTTACATCTTTCCACCATGGCTAATTAGTAATTATACCAACATTTCGTGAATCTTATCGTTCACTTTATCAGGATGAGAGTCACACTGATACGAAGGAGCAACTCAGTATCAGTGCGAGCTTCGTCCTGATGAAATGAACGGCAAAGTTCATGAAATGTTGGCATTAGGACGATGTTGAATTATGACGGTAATAACACAAGCAAATCGTTTGACACTAAACTGACTTCTAAAGAAAATATCCGTGAAAATCTCAAAAGTATTATCAAAAAAATAATTATTCGAAAAATTTTAAAGAAACTTTAGTACAATTTGGCTACTAAATAATAGATTTATCATAACATTAAATTAAAACTTACATTAGTGGAAAAATCTTATACATAGGTAAACGTGCTAACAATTAGAATATTACATTTACACAAACATAATATATTGTTCATACATTTGATTTATGGAAATCAATCTTACCTAATAATTATACGCTTAATTATTACTTGCAATTATGAAATATATATAATCATCCTTTTTTAATTAAATTGCGAAATAACAGATAATTGCTCGATACAGTCGTGTCAGTGATGTGTAAGCGACGATCTACTTGTGTACAAATTAAACAAAGTAATCTTATCGATGGAAAAATTATCAATCAATTTCGACATGGAATACAAAAAATTTAGAAAGAAGAATTACTCGGTCTAAGAGAAACAGATTTGTGGTTTAGAAACGAATTGGCATCGAGACTTGACCGCAAACACCAACATAGCATTACGAACTTCGCTCGGATTGACTTTCAAGAGGAAAGCCGTTTTACCAATAGCAAATTCAAACATTTGCGGTGTAGCTCAAAATGGTAACGAATTAAGATTAAGCCGTATTTGCGCAGTATTTAAAAATTACACAATTTATAGTGGAAATATATAAAATGGTACATCTTTACATAAATTAGATATTTTTATTATTAGATGGAAACACACAATTACAAATAGTATATTTTATAGTATATTCTATATGTAAATATGCACGAGGATATAAATACTTAACCCAAAATTGCATACGTATCGGAGAAGATATGAGAAGGAAGTGAAAAGGCATGGAAAAGCATTCATATCTCCGTCGTACAAATTTTTGTAATATATCATAATAGTAATACATACATAATTACACATACATATTATACAATATTTGTATT